CCCCCCCCCCCCCCTTTTTTTTTTCCATTGACCTAAGCTAATAAGATTTTTATTATGACTTTGCTTGCTGTGCAAACAGTTGTGCATTTGAATATATTAGCCTAGGAGGTCTGTCCTCATCCAACTTTAGCCAGATCATGGGCTTATCCTTTATGGGTCTGTCTTTCTTTCATTAAAAAATTTTTTATTCTTACCTCTTTCTGGACATATCGCCGATATATCGGCTGTGACAGGGTACCTCAGTATTGTTTCGTTTTAACACGATCCGTCATTTATAATTACTTTTTATCGCTATTGAAAAACTTGGAAAGTATTAAGGAAATGAAAACATCTAGTTTCTCTTTGTCAAAGCGTGGGTTTGGGGAAAAATGAGTGAATTAGTTTGTGCAGTTTTGCTTCAACAAAACGATGTAACCGGACTCAGTATAAATATCATAACTCAAACAAAAATTGGAATATTGCTTTTAAAAAAAAAGCTACACATTCAGATTATGCTTTTGGTCTGTATATCGTCGGCCTGGTGATAAAACCGTCTAACCCACAAAATATCAAAAAACTTTTTATTGGCCCTATCGATAGTAAATTGTCCATTTCATATGCTCACTCAAAGACAGATCTGAATTTTGTCTAGAAATGTCTTTAAAACATTAGAAATAAAACCGTATAACCCGGCACCCATCGGATTTTAGCCCGATAATTCCGACTATCCCACCTGCGAGGGACTGAATGAGGGTTGGCTGTTTTTATCACGCTAACAATGAGGGGCCACTTGCTACGTTACCGACTAACCCTGGGTTCGACTCCTCTCTGGACTTAGTTTGACATCAGATTCAGACCTGCAATAGTCCAGAATTTGCTCACATAACCGTGGGAACTCTCCAAAAAGGATTATTTGTGTAATATTTCTTGTTGATTTCACTGGGGAGTTATATAGATCTGGTTGTTTCCTCTTTTTTCTTCGTTTTAATGCTGCTGATAACGTTATTAATGACTAAAACTCCCCACTGTTCCCACAGAACTGTTTATCTCGTGACAATTCCGGTATTTGAAATGCATCTTTATGGATTTTGTTTTGTATGAAACTATGTTTTCTGTCCGCGTGTTTTTCTTTGTCTTTGTACTCGAAATTCACCGATTGTGAAGGCATTTTCCCTCATTCGGACTACTGTCTCTTCTCCTAATCATTTTTCCTTCACAATTGAATGGACGAAGTAGATAGCATTTCCTCCTTTACTAACTCACTCCAAAAAAAAAAATAATTGTGGGACCTGTCCAGCACACCGTCTGCCCCCAACGATCGTTGTTTTTTAAAGTGGTTTTTCTTTTCTTTTTTTCATTTGCTGTGTTTATTGCAGTCATTACCTTCTGAAACATCGTTCGAATTTCTTTGAAAGTTCATTTCGTTTGTGTTTTGAGTAGATTATTTTCTCAGTGTCATAACCTAATGCTTTATCTTTATATCAAACCTTGGCTTACATAACGCTATAACATTCAATAAGATGATGCTACTCTTGCTGCGTCACCTCTTACCCTCAGTGCAGTGGAAAATGGTCAACATGACCAGGCTAATGTCACATCAGTTGATAGTACAATAGTTATGTTAACTTTGATCTCTGCGAAAAGGACACGACATAAAAAAGATTGGAAGGGTAACAAAAGGAAGAGGTTGAAAGAACTGGGGATGCCTCTACACATGTCAAGGCACGAAGGGAGCAGGATGTGAACTTGACGTCCTTGGCAGTTGTAAACTGGTTGGTACAAAATGCAATGATATCACTGGTCACTCTCTTGGAAAGAAAAGAGAGCCTACGTATATGACTCGATAAACATGATAGACAAAAAGAGATCTTACACAGCAAGCGAAAACCCAAGGAGAAATTACAGCCGCTTACAAGAGTCAATGGTCAAAGAACACCTGTTTGTAAAACAATCTTCAAGAACACCACAGGCCTGACCCACTGGTTTATTTAAAGTGTCTTCTCCGAAAAAACAACAACCAAGAGGTCCACCCACCTAGAACACATTGCGCCTACCATGAGAGAGCCAAGGATGACAAGTTGTTCCATAAAGAGGAATTTTTTGACAAACTTTTGAAGATACCCTCCTGTCTACAGATGACAATCCAGAAAACGTCAGATCTGCATCAAGTATACATGGAGAACTTTGCAGAGAGAGTGAAAGCCACATTGAGCTATCAAGTGTTCTGCCAAAAGTTCAAGAAAAACAATTTGGGTTTACTTTCAACCAAGAAAGACCAGTGCGACATTTGTACAAAGTTCAAATCTGGAAACCTCACAGAAACAGAACACACAGCTCAAATATGAATATGAGGAAAGCTGCCGCTAGACCAGAGAAGGAGAAGGACAGGGAGGCTGTGTGTGTCCTTTGTATGGAGATCCAGTGCGTCCTTCTGGCCTCATCACTAAAGACTTCCACCTTATATAAACAAAACTGGCTGTACACAATGTTACGACTTAGGATCTTGCCACCAGAGATGCCAGATGATATGTCTGGTATGAAAGTGAAGTTGGTCTGGGCTTCAACAGTTTTCATCACGTCTGACTCACTAACTGATATTGCAAGTGACTGACTTCAACCACTTCATTATCTGCAGTGATTGGCGCAACTACTAAAACAGAAAGCCACCCTGGTGAGTGCAATGGCCTCGCTGGCCAAAGAGCTTGACATCACAGTTGAGCAGAAATTCTTCCCAAGGGCCATACCCAAATGGAAGTGGATTCAGTCCATGGCACTATTGAGCGATTGCTAAAAAACGCACTGATGTACATCCCAATGGACTACGTGAACATCATGCTCAAAGCCAGACGCATCCACAGGCCCTATGAAGTTATGTTCCTGGACCACAGCTTTTTCAAAGATTTCGCAAAGGTCGGAGAGCACTAAACAATCTGTCTAGGGAGAAAAGCAGGCGATCCTACTGTCACTGACTTGCAGGCATCAAAGTACACTCCAGTCTTTAAAATTCAGTACAAGCTGAACTTTGATGATGGATGGCAGCCGCCGCAAGGACCAAGAAAGCTGAACACCATGTGTACGACGGTTACTGGGTGTGGCACGCGCAGACAGGCAGAACACATCGCGTGATACTGATAGTGATAGGCCAGCCCAGTCTAGATTATCTAGGCCTACTGACCCTCTCACTTCTCTGGTGCGGGATGGAGAGCTCACAATGCTGTGACTGTGTGACATGCGCAAGCAGACGCAACGCACCACAGGGTGTTGTGGGGTGGGGGACAACACAGCGGACGAGTTGGCCTATAGCCAAAGCCCCTTCTTTCTGATCGCCAACGCCGAGCTGTCAACATAGCTAGTGCTAGAGAAAGAAACCTGATTCGATTTTTGATCAAGTAAGACCTAGAAATCATGTTGAACAGAATCATCATGAAGGGAAATACAAAAAGGAATAAACAGAACACTAAACTCATAAATTAGGCCTACTTTACTATTTCCCTTGAATTTATTACTGGATCCATTATAGCAAGAATCCTGCTATAATGGACATTTCGCACCGGTCCCCTCCCTCTCATTATAACAGGATTCCACTGTATATGAAGGAAGCCAGTCAGTGTCCCTTATGTTGTTATAGCATTTATTTCTGAAGAAGGGCAACATGTAGGATACAAAACACTTTTAAAATCCATATATATACGTTATAACGCGGATAGGTCGAACACAGAAGACTCGAAATCATACATCCGTCGAACTGTTCTTTATCTTTGTAAGATATCCTTCAAACTACGGGTCCCTTAAACGACTGAGGCCGGTACAGATAAATTCGAGCTATCCGTGTTATACTGTATCTATATTTTGTCTGTATATTTTGTTTTTCTTTTCTCATTCCTGTATTGTCTGTCTTGTGAAGAGGGTTCTCCTGTTCATTAAATTGTTTTTTCGTGTCTTTTTATTTACCTTAATGGGATCAATGATTCAATTTTTTTTTTCTCTGTTGTACAGCTGCCCCAGCCACTGTGGAGAAACTGCAACTGGCCTGTCAGACGCAAGAAGCCACTTATACCTTTGGCCAGTGATTCTGTCGTCTGCCAGATCTTCCAGTGACTCCATTGTCTCTGCTCTTTTAAAACTTTGAAATGTGCTCCTTGTGAGCAGTCCGGAACTACTTTGTTTTGTTGAACTTTACAGAAACTGTTTGTCATGTTGAGGTATTTTAGACTCATAGTTCAGCTATTATCATTTAAAGTTCTTACAGTTTTAAGCATTTATTGAGATTTCTTGTGTTCTGTGATGAGTGAAATGAGTCTTTAATTTTTTTTAGTTTGTTATTTTGTGTGATCTACTATTTTGTTCTTATACGAGTGTAAAGCAATTACAAAACATTTACAATAAATCAATCAATTTATAAGTCTATAATTACAGAAATGCTCTCAGTCAGTGTGTGGTTCAGAGGACAACCATGGTTCCTCTGCTGATCGCTGTGCATTTTATTAGTACAACATGCCCAAATATTTTACTTCAGTTCCTGGTCAAATGTATGAAGCCCTAGAGTTCTGGGTCAGAGTACTTTTTCTTTTTGGTTTGTTTTGTGGTCTGGGTTGACTGGTGCTGTACTCTTGGGATGAGAGCATTCAAATAATTTGAGAAATACTGTCGAACCTGTGTAAGACGGCCACGCTTTGTTGAGGGGAAAAGGGGCCATAACGTATAAGACAGGTGGCCGTCTTAGGGTGGACTGATCAAAATAAAGAGAACAAACTATTTACTTCTGAGATCCTAACTGAAGGTGGTTGCATGCTTAGGACTGCCCTAGGGCTGATTAAAATGTGTTGTCTTTGTTGTTTTATTTCTTCTGAAAGGGGGGAGAGAATAGGGCGGTTTTTGTTTGTTTGTTTTATTTTTATGACATTTCATCCATTAGAGGGACTGACAACGTCAGGTGAAAGAATTATGACGACTTGTCCACAACATCAGAGGAAAATGCATAATTTTTAACAAAGTCGGGCTTTCTTAGGCAGGTAGATTTGGCTGTGGGTTGATAAAACAGGGTGGCTGCGGCCGCGTTGGAAAGGTGCCTGTTTGACACAGCTAAATTGTATAGAAAAAACAGGGGGGGGGGGGGGGGGATAGAAAGTGGCTGTCATGGCAGGTTCACTTGTCCATCAAAAGCTACTGCTATCTGCTATCCAAGTGACCTAGCTCTTTGAATATTTAGTTGAAAAGGTCTAAGTCTAAGTTATTCTAATTAATCTAATCTCCTAGAGATCATAAAGGTTTACTTTTAAATATTAGGGGAGAAGGATGAGTGTCGCATTCTCATATATGCTATGATGAATGATGATAAACCCCTTTTAAGTCACCGAATCTAATCTTTTGTCACTAGTCACTATACAGTCGTCATCGAATGGCAAACTGCTACTGAAAAAGGAAACAGAGTGCAGAAGTTGATGATGTGCTACTCGCAACACTTTTTTCACAATAATTGGAAAATGAAATGCTGTGTTTATTAAAATCCTGTCTTTCTATGCCTAGCTTTGTTTCATCTTGCGTTGCTGTGGTGGCCTAATTTGCATACTGATACATACATCTTTTACTATTTTTAGCCCTGTGATTTAATGCTTTTTATTTTTTATGCTTTGCATGGTATGTTCTGCAGGATTCTGTAGAAGTTGTTGGAGACACTTTTTCTTAACATCTGTATGCATTGTATTTGAATTATTTAGTTTCCCCATATATATCGGAAGTTTTCTTTGACAGTTGTTAATGCAGATAGATAAGGTTGTGTGTGAGGATGATTTCTAATAATAATAATAAATAAAAAGCATTTGTATAACGCACACCCCTGCTCAACAGCAAGCTCTACACCTTTTTTTGTGGACAATGTAGTTAAGAAGTGCTCCTTCTTTACTTTACAGATGATAGTGCTTTTACTGTATTGAACAGCATCATGTGTCCTGGTAATGATCAAGCATGCGCTTAATAAATGGTCCAATTCATGCCAGAAACTGCCAGTTGCAGTGAGAGCAAGAAAAGGATTTGATATTCTGCACTCTTTTGTATCATCTTGTCTCTTTTCAGATTATCCTATGCCTTCTCTGCTCTGCCTTTGTTCCATTTTGAGATCCCTTTTCCCTTTTCCACTGCTGCAGCTTTTCTCCGCTATCCCGGTCTCCAAGGCATCTTTGTCTGTAGAGGTACTGTTTTTTCCTTCTGTTGTAGTGTGTGCTAAAGAAGGTCTGTAAGTGTAAGGACTTTGGCAGACTTGGAAATCAGATAATGAAAAATAAGAAGATTCTTTTCTTTAAAAGTACTTTGTAATGACTTATGTTGTAAATATATTTGATGTCAGGCTAAGGCTACAAGGGTTTTGTGTCAAGTTTGTGACCTAAGTTTCTTTTACATTTATTTTTTAAGGAAACTTTAGCTAAAAAATTTACGAACTTTGGAGAGTGCTGTCTTTTAATATGAGTTGTGATAATTGATGAACTGATATTATATGTATATATATATATATATATATATATATATATATTACATGTAGTCATTTCAAAAGGTCCAAGTAAAAAAAAAAATTTGAAAAAGTCATTTTTTAATGATTTTCTGACTAAAATGCAATCTATAAAGATTTGGGATTTTTTATCTTATAATATATTCAAGTTTAGAAGATAATGAATTACAACACGTGCTCAAAAAAGTTGATCTATCCGTAAACTTTTGATTTGCAAGGTTGGACAAAAATTGTTGAATGCAACAGTGAAAAATAGCTTTTTGTTGTTTATATTGCATGCATTGTTTTGTTGTTTTTTTTTTAGATAAAATGGATTCATGTACTTAGCAAGTAAAAAAATGTACTTTCTGTCCATACCAGTTTGCACTATAGCTCCCACTAATTCTTATCAAAATAATATCAATATTATTTCGTTCTTCCAGACAAAAAAACAATGAGAAAATAGAAACGATGAGTTCTTTACTTTACTTTTGTGGAAAAGTAAGGCACTCTTTAATCGACTAGTCGGATATCGCTTATTTTGGGTGGTTTTTGCACGCTTGTGGACTCAGATCGTTGAAAAGTGATTAAAAAGTGTATTTTCTTTACATCATCCTTGTTGAATGTCTTTTTTCTTACTTTTTGAAAACAGCTTAATTTCCCTTGAAAAGTCTAGTTTTAATATTGTGGTATCTGATATTACTGGGACAAGTTTCAATTAGATATTTTCTATGATGAAATTATAATAACTTGTGAGAAAAAAATGCTACCATCAAGTTCATAGCATCATTCTCAGGGACGTATACTGTGTCACGCCATTCTTCAACACAATTTTTTTTTGTTGTAAAGAAAATTCAAATTATTCGAAAATGATATATTCTCATTTGCCGTAAATTCAAATTCTTATCTTTGTGTCTGCTTTACAGCAGATATATACTGCCAAGATGGATCCCTATAAAAGGGCTCGAACACAGGGTGTCCCAATTTCAGCACAGTTCTGTTCTGAACTAGCAGAAAGCTGAGTAAAGCTTGGGGCCTAAATTTTATGTATTATGCTTTATAAGCTTGTCGATCAGCATGTTTTGCAGTACATTCCCATGCCCCAATAACTCTTTTTGCTGTGTCTTTCAGTGGCATTGCTACAATAAAATTTGACTAGTTTTCCTATGGTCCCCAACCATCAACCAGCAACAGAGATGGAAGCTGAAAGTCTGGTTGGAGCAGTAAAAAAAAAAAAAAGTTCTTTATAATGGCAAGAGGAAAGATGATGGTTCAATTAATAGAACTTTGATTAATGAAAAGTAGAAAAAAGATGTATCTGATTTCTGATGTTAACAACAAACGCACTATATCAAGAGCTGTAGGGTGGAGGATTCAGATTCCTCTATTGCTTGATTGCTTTTGTTTTGTTGGTTTGTCTTTTTTGTGTTTGTGGGG